ATTCGCTGTTATAGTCTGATGGGCTTCTCTTTATGGGAAACCCGACTTTTCTCTCTGGCTGACTTTAAGATTTTTTCCTTCATTTCAACCTTGGTGAATCTATGATTATGTATCTTGGGATTGCTCTTATTGAAGAGTATCTTTGCAGTATTCTCTGTATTTCCGGAATTAGAATTTTGGCCTGTTTTGCTAGGTTGGAGAAGTTCTCCTGGATAAATATCCTGATGTGTGTTTTCCAACTTGTTTCCATTCTCCCCATCATTTTCGTGTGTACCAATCAAACGTAGGGTTGGTCTTTTCACATAGTCCCATATTTCTTAGAGGCTTTGTTTGTTTTAATTCTTTTTTCTCTAATCTTGTCTTCACACTTTATTTCATTAAGTTGATCTTCAGATTGATACTAACGTATGCTTCCCAAAGTTCTCGTGCTGTGTTTTTCAGCTCCATTAGGTCATTTATGTTCTTCTCTAAACTGGTTATTCTAGTCAGCAATTCCTCTAACCTTTTTTCAAGGTTCTTAGCTTCCTTGCATTGGGTTTGAACATGCTCTTTTACTCAGATGAGTTTTTTTATTGCCCACCTTCTGAAGCCTACTTCTGTCAATTCATCAGACTCATTCTCCAACCAGTTTTGTTCCCTTGCTGGTGAGGAGTTGTGATCCTTTGGAGAAGAGGCATTCTGGTTTTGGGAATTTTCAGCCTTTTTGCGCTGGTTTATCTTCATCTTCATGGATTTATCTATCTTTGGTCTTTGATGTTGGTGACCTTCAAGATGGTGTTTTTGAGTGAATGTCCTTTTTGTTGATATTGATGCTATTCTTTTCTGTTTGTTAGTTTTCCTTCTAATAATCAGGCCCTTCTGCTGCAGGTCTGCTGGAGTTTGATGGAGATACATTCCAGACCCTGTTTGCCTGGGTATCACCAGCGATGGCTGTAGAATAGCAAAGATTGCTGACTGTTCCTTCCTCTGGAAGCTTTGTTCCAGAGGGGCACTGCCATATGCCAGCCAGAGTTCTCCTGTATGAGGTGTCTGTTGACCCCTCCTGGAGGTATCTCCCAGTCAGGAGGCACAGGAGTCAAGGACCATTGGGCAGGCAGTCTGTCCCTTAGCAGAGCTCAAGTGCTGTGCTGGGAGATCCACTACTCTCTTTAGAGCTACCAGGCAGGAATTTTAAGTCTGCTGAAGCTGCGTGCACAGTGCCCCTTCCTCCAGGTGCTCTGTCCCAGGGAGATGGGAGTTTTGTCTACAAGCTCCTGACAGGGACTGCTGCCTTTTATTTTCAGAGACGCCCTGCCCAGAGAGGAGGAATCTAGAGAGGCAGTCTGGCTACAGCAGCTTTGCCAAGCTGCGGTGGGCTCTGCCCAGTTCAAACTTCCTGGAGGTTGTGTTTACAATGTGAGGAGAAAACCACCTACTTAAGCCCCAGTAATGGTAGACACCCCTCCTCCCACCTAGCTCGAGCATCCCAGGTCGACTTCAGACTGCTGTGCTGGTAGCGAGAATTTCAGGCCAGTGGATCTTAGCTTGCTGGGCTCTGTCAGGGTGAGATCCGCTGAGCTAGACCACTGAGCTCCCTGGCTTCAGCCCCTTTTCCGGAGGAGTGAACGGTTCTGTCTTGCTTGTGTTCCAGGCATGACTAAGGTATGAAAAAAAACTCCTGTAGCTAGCTGGGTGTCTGCCCAAACAGCCACTCAGTTTTGTGCTCGAAACCTAGGGCACTTGTGATGTAGGCACCCAGGGGAATCTCCTGGTCTGCCGTTGCAAAGACCATTGGAAAAGCATAGTATCTGAGCTGGAATGTACCATTCCTCACAGCACAGTCCCTTAGGGCTTCCCTTGGCTATAGGAGGGAGTTCCCTGACTCATTGCACTTCCCTGGTGAGGCAACGCCCTGCTTCAGCTCACCTTCTATGGGATGTACCCACTGTCTAACCAGTCTCAATGAGATGAGCCAGGTACCTCAGTTGAAAATGCAGAAATCACTCACCCTCTGCATTGATCTTTCTGGGAGCTGCAGACTAGAGCTGTTTCTATCTTCACGATTTTAACATCTGTCTGGCTCTGTTTGATTTTCACCTCCCTCCCCCAAAAAAACCCATATAAGAAATATATTGATTCTTAGAGTTAAATTCCAGAAGTATAGAGCTCTCACATTAAAATAACAGTTTGCTTGAGTCTATCAAATACAAAAGTATCTATTAAATATAATTGATTCTGTGGATTCATTCACTTCCTTTGCAAGTAATTACTGTGTATTTTTCCAATTCTAACCTAAGGATCTTTCAAAGTTTCTAAATTTCCCTTTGGTTCCTTTATTAGAAGCCAAGTTAAATATCTGGAAAATTAATCAATTATCTTCTTCCTATTGAAACAGTCCCTCTGCTACTGTTCTTCCTCAGTAGAAACAACTTACAACAAAATTCAGGTTTATGATATGATTCACTCATCAGCAAACATGTGAGACTCTACAATGAATCAAGAATTTTGTAAGAGTTATACATTTACTATGATAATGTTAATAATGAAAAGTCTAATTCAACAAATAGTGATCTATCCATTTTTAAGCCCCAATAACTCAAACATTAAAAAACTATAGATGAACAGGCTGGGTGAGGTGGCTCACACCTGTAATCCCAGCACTTTGGGAGTCCAAGGCAGGTGGATAACTTGAGGTCAAGAGTTCAAGACCAGCCTGGCCAACATGGTGAAACCCTATCTCTACTAAAAACACAAAAATTAGCTGGGTGTGGCAGTAGGCCCCCATAATCTCAGCTACTTGGGAGGCTGAACAGAGAGAAACCCTGGAACCTGGGTGGCAGAGGTTGCAGTGAGCCAAGATCTGCACTCCAGCCTGGGCGACAGAGAAAGACTCCCTTCCCCCCCCCCAAAAAAAGAAACAAGAAAAAGAAAAAAAAGACAACTATAGATGAATGGTTAAGTAAATACCAAGTGAGTAACAATATGTGGAAGAATATTCCAAACTAGAATTAATATATTTTAATTCTTTGAATGAGAAAATGGCATATTCAAAATGAAAGTAAAAGTGGGACAAGATCAGAGTATACAACTGCATATATTTCGTTATTTAAAGATGACTAAAGAGGAGACTACCAATTTGAAAGAAAATCACGAAGATTTTATGTTTCCTTAAAACATACAAAACCAAATTAAAAAAAAACAGTAAGACATAACTACTAACAGAAAAATTTTCCCCAATGAGAATATAAGCTTATTAACCACTCCTTTTTTCATTAATGTTCACCTAGCTTCTACCAGTCTTCTGGTACAAAGATATTCAGCCCTTCAAAACTTTAAGTATTTGGTTATAAGTAATACTCATCTTTTTTGTCATTTGAAAATAGATGAGTTTCCTAATCAAGACAGTAGAAATAGACTACGGTTCATCAATTGTTGAGTGTGAGAGAGTGGTGCAAAACAACACAACACATGTTGCAATGTTATTTTTAAATTAGCTAATTAATTTGTGAGAAAAAAATGTTCTTATATTACTTAATTGATACCCAAGATGAATTGTTTCAGCTTAAAACTGGACCAAATTAAAAAAATAATAACAGGCACAACTTGATCTAGCCTTTTCTGAAAAAAAAAATATATATATATATATTTAAAACAAGAAAAACATGTGCCATAGAGGTTGTGATATCCCCAATCTTTGAGCAAACAACACTTATATTTAACTACCCTCACCTTATACGTATACTTTCTTCTTTGGATTTTGGAGTCTTTAAAATATGAGCGTACTTTTTTTTTTTTTCCTGACATGGAGTCTTGTTCTGTTGCCCAGTCTGGAGTACAGTGGTGCAATCTCAGCTCACTGCAACCTCTGCCTTCCAGGTTCAAGTTCAAGCAATTCTCCTGCCTCAGTCTCCTGAGTAGCTAAGATTACAAGTGTATGCCACCACATCCAGTTAATTTTTGTATTTTTAGTAGAGATGAGGTTTCACCATGCTGGCCGGGCTGCTCACAAACTCCTGACCTCGTGATCTGCCCACCTCAGCCCCAAAGGGCTGGGATTGCAGGTATGAGCCACTGTGTCCAGCCTATACTTTTTTTGAGATAGTCTCACTGTCGCCCAGGCTGGAGTACAGTGGTGTGATCTCGGTTCACTGCAACATTTGCCTCCCGGGTTCAAGCGATTCTCCTGCCTCAGCCTCCCAAGTAACTGGACTATAAGTGTGCACCACAGCACTAGACTAATTTTTGTATTTTTAGTAGAGATAGAGTTTTGCCATGTTAGCCAGGCTGGTCTCAAACTCCTGACCTCAGGTGATTCACCAGCCTCGGTCTTCCAAAGTGCTGGGATTACAGGTGTAAGCCACTATACCCAGCCTAAAATATGAGTATACTTTAAATATAAATATATAGAGAAACCACTCTTAGAAACTTTTAAATGAAGACGAAATCTGAAATATGTTCCAATATATGGTTAATATCATATTAAGGGGTTAAAGGAAGAGCTAGGGGGAAGAATTAAGATAAGACGATGAACTAAAATTTAGCCAAGTAGTAGGATTTTTATTCTCTAAACCTTATTTCAATCAATTTAAGGTTAGAAAAATTTTGTTTAAAAAGATGCAACTTTGCCATGAGCCGAGATTGAGCCACTGACTTCAGCCTGGGTAACAGAGGTCTCAAAAAAAAAAAAAAAGATGCAACCTCATTTTGTGTTTAAATTCACTGGTAAAGTAAGATTAACACATTAACACCACACGACAGATAAACATTCTTGAATTTGTTCTTTGGTGAAATGAGTCATTTAAAAATTTAAACAGCTCTAAAATATTAATTCAGTTTCATAGGAAAGAGAAAAGTATGTGAGAAAATTGCTTATCAAAAACTAATGAGATGCAGGATAAGAGCTACTCACAATCACAACAATTAAATTAAATATGAGGAATAATTAGGAAAAACAGAAACCAAGAGTCAAATTCTTTTTATACCTTAAAGGTTAAAGGCCCATTTGACAGCCATCAAACAGTTCTTTGAAATGCTACATTAAGATATCATTAACAATTTCAATTTATAAATACACACCCATATATATTTTCTTTTAAAATGTCATATTCCAAACACAAAAGCAATCAAATAAGAGAACAACAGGCTTAATAGTGATTTTTTTTCTTTCAATTACTACTACAACAATTCTGAGAAGTTGCCAGCACACCAGCAGGCATTTCTGCATAAAAAAACGTAATGAGCAGACCATGCAGCTAAACAGCTAGTGACTATTTGCAAGCCTCCTAGGTATATCCCCAGCAGACACATTATCAGATTAAAGGAACTGCAAACAAACTGGGCTGAAACTTTCTTTGTCCAAACCCAGCCTCTTCTTCCTGTGATGTCATATTACAAATCTAGCAAGCCTTTCTTTTTCACTTCAGAGAAAGCGACCTCAAGATACAGCTGGCAACTGAGGAAAAGGCCTCAATTCAGCAAGAGCTAACGTGCTTTGGAATTTATTTTGGCATCTTTAAAAGACTCTTCTGCTTCCCACCATCTGGGATCATACGGCAGGAAAACAAAAAAGGAAAACTTCATTTAAAAGAAGCAAGAAGTAAAATGGGACAAATTGGGAATGTTCAAGTCTCTGAAACTCTCCACTGAAATGAAAATAAGATTGATAACTTAAGATTAATATCTTGGGGTATAAAGAAACATTAACTTTGGAGTATTCATCGTGACTACTGCAATACAAGTTTAGAAGACAAATGGTTTCATTCTCGTCACAGAATACAGCTTTTCTTTACATTTATAATCCTATGTGTTGGCCTCGTTGACTGTATTTTTTAAAGGTTGCTTGTCAGTTAACTGAGCCTTGGGATTCATGAATTTTCTGAAGATTAAAAAATGAAAGTATTTTCCTGTTGAAGAGTCCAGCAGAAATTTCACAGCAACAGATTTCATGTTTCTTTTGAATCTTTCTGAGAAAAAGGAAATATTTATAAAACCATCCAAAGATCCGGATAATTTGCAAATAAATTGGAGATTATAGAGGTTATAATCTGAATACCAAAGGAGACTGCAGCCGATGAAAGTACTTCCAAACTGAAAACTGAACGTGCCTTTACGATGGTAAGCATTAACAGCTCTGACTGCTTCTATAATGACTCCTTTAAGTACACTTTGTATGGGTGTATGTTCAGCATGGTGTTTGTGCTTGGGTTAATATCCAATTGTGTTGCTATATACATTTTCATCTGTGTCCTCAAAGTCCGAAATGAAACCACAACATACATGATCAACTTGGCAATGTCAGACTTGCTTTTTGTTTTTACTTTACCCTTCAGGATTTTTTACTTTGCAACACGAAACTGGCCATTTGGAGATTTACTTTGTAAAATTTCTGTGATGCTGTTTTATACCAACATGTATGGAAGCATTCTGTTCTTAACCTGTATTAGTGTAGATCGATTTCTGGCAATTGTCTATCCATTTAAGTCAAAGACTCTAAGAACCAAAAGAAATGCAAAGATTGTTTGCATTGGCGTGTGGTTAACTGTGATGGGAGGAAGTGCACCCGCCGTTTTTTTTCAGTCTACCCACTCTCAGGGTAACAATACTTCAGAAGCCTGCTTTGAAAATTTTTCAGAAGACACATGGAAAACATATCTCTCAAGGATTGTAATTTTCATCGAAATAGTGGGATTTTTTATTCCTCTAATTTTAAATGTGACTTGTTCTAGTATGGTGCTAAAAACTTTAAATAAACCTGTTACATTAAGTAGAAGCAAAATAAACAAAACCAAGGTTTTAAAAATGATTTTTGTACATTTGATCATATACTGTTTCTGTTTTGTTCCTTACAATATCAACCTTATTTTATATTCTCTTGTGAGAACACAAATTTTTGTTAATTGCTCAGTAGTGGCAGCAGTAAGGACAATGTACCCAATCACTCTCTGCATTGCTGTTTCAAACTGTTGTTTTGACCCTATAGTTTACTACTTTACATCGGACACAATTCAGAATTCAATAAAAATGAAAAACTGGTCTGTCAGGAGAAATGACTCCAGATTCTCTGAAGTTCAAGGTGCAGAGAATTTTATTCAGCATAACCTACAGACCTTAAAAAGTAAGATATTTGACAATGAATCTGCTGCCTGAAATAAAACATTGGGACTCACTGGGACAGAACTTTCAAGTTCCTTCAAGTGCGAAAAGTGTCTTTTTGGACAAACTATTTTTCCACCTCCAAAAGAAAATTAACACATGGACATTTTAAAGTCATTAGTATAAAGAAAATTTGTATTCAATATGTTAAGCATTAACATGTATTTTATTTGTGTATACACTCCGATTTTTCTGAGCCATTTTGATTTGTTCCTTCTTCATTAAAAAAACTCTTAAAGTTATTCAATGTCTAAAAGTGACTGATTTAAATTATGTGTTAACAATCTGTAATGTCTTTGAATTCCTTTTTATATTAAATAATTTAACTTAGCAAATTATTTTATACTAATTTATTTATATGTTTAAGTATTTAATATTTTTATTCAACATACCATTTTTACTGTGAATGGAAACTATCAATCATGTTTCTTAAACTATAATAACAATGAGAAAAGAGTAATTTGAAATAATCAAATATTTTTGGAGTATTTTAATATATATATAATTTAAAATGTAGTTTTCTTGTAGAAATGATAGCATATTAACATTGTTGGAAGAGCTTGAGCAGTAACACACTGATAACATTTTGGGGGTTTTGTCTGTGCAGGCGATTTGTAGAAAGCAGATACTATCTATATGGCATGCTTTGAAGTTACTATTTTGATTTTCTGTATATAACGTGCCCAATTTCAAAATGATGTATGCCACAAAAATTGAGAGGAAGAAAACTAATAAAATGTTACTTTGCTAAGTTTTTACTTAGCAAAAAAATAAAATACTACCAGAGGTGTATTTTAAAGGTGCACTTATATCACAATCAAGAACTTACATTTAAAAAATGTTAGATCAGAGAAACACCAGAGATAGTGAAACACAGGACTTGGCATTTAGAAAGTAATATACAGTCGTGTGTTGCTTAGACGCTTGCTTAGGTAATTATGTCATTGTGTAAACATCATAGTATGTGCTTACACAACTCAGAAGGTATATACTACTGCACACCTAGCTTATATGTTATACCCTATTGCTTCTAGGCTACAAACTAGACAGCATGCTACTATATAGCATACTGTAGACAACTGTAAAATGATGGTATTTTTGTATCTAAATATATCTCAACATAGAAAAGGTACAGTAAAAATGCAGTATGATAATCTTATGAGACCACCATCGTATATGCGGTCATTCACTGTTACGTGATACATAACTGTAAATATTTTCTTTTCCTTCACTCTTCTGACCATTTTAAGCCAAATATTGGATAGCTGAAAACATTTCAAGTAGGCAAGATGTTACTGTACATCAAAATGATTTATTAAAGACACAGTTCCTCATATTATAAAGCAGCAAAACTATTAGGCCACATAACTAAACAAAATTATATTTTCATTTCACTAAACATAAAACGGGTATGGCTCTGAGGTATACTTTAGAAAAAAGTAACAAATACACTAAAACTTTTTTATTAGCTGACATATTCTTTTTTTAAAAAATTCAAGCAGTTCTCCAAAGTTAACTAAAAAAGAATGCCTTGTATTTAAGACAAAGGACATGCAATTAAATTCAGCATCAACCTATCTGATTTAATCTTTCAAGTCCTGAATACAGCTTGGACAAATAACTCTTTTAAGACATAAATTTGATTTTTGCTATTCTCTAGGTTTAAGCTGTAATGATTTCAGAAAAATCATAATCATTTGCTGGACAGGTTAACCTACTTTCAATAAAATAACAGTGGGAGTTTTCTTGGATACATCGTTTCCTTTAGATAAACCTAAAGCAAAACATATCCTTAAGTGCCTTAAGCCCAGGAGGTCCAGGTCACAGTGAGCTATGATCACACCACTGTACTCCAGCACGGATGACAGAGAAAGACCCTATCTCAAAAACAAAAAAAAAAACAAAAAAAAAACCTAGTAAGATACTATGGTCCTTTATATACAAAGAGAAGGATAGACATAATATAAATGTGTTTTATTCCATTGACCTAAAATTCCTTTATTTGATTCACACTTTAGTCAATAAAAATACACTACATTCTTATACATACTGAGATGAAAAGCAACTACTAATTTACTGATCTTGGGGAAAGGGGCGGAGAATTCTGTAACTGAGATTTTTCAGAACTCTCCTCAGCTTAAAGATCTATGAGTAAAACTTAAGGCAAGATCACAAAGCATGAATATAACTTAAAAAAAAGACAAGTAAAACAGTCATTAAATAGTTATTACTATTTTCATAAAGAAACTTTTGGTGTCTCCTGTCAACAGGAAGATAAATGAATCAAAAGTTTTGTAAGATTCTTCATAAAGCAATACATCACAGATAACAAACATAGTTTTCTCATCTAGAACTTCAAATACTGAGTAACTCTTACCAATGGACAGAAAGTCTACCAGAACAAAATTTATTTTCCTTTGTTAGTGCTGTACTTTATGGTAAATTATATATTCTGAGAGTTTTATCTTCCCTTCCCTCTTTACTCCGAAAAATCTATATTAATATTAGAACTCTGATGATTTTACTTTTTATTACTTTAAAAAGATAGCACTAAGCCCTCCTACAGAAACTGTGCCCACTGTTTTTAACATTTTCATAAAACAGTAGATAATCTGACTAATCTTCCTGCCCACATTAACTTCCTTCAAAGGAACAGAGTAAACTGAGAAAATTTTTCAGGTGTGGAAAAATGGTTTTCCAGCACCCTAATAATTTCTGAACTTAGAAATCATCTTTTCTGAGAAAATATCAAGTAACTAGTTTACGAGAAAAAGCATAAAAAATATGTATTGTATATAATATATTCACAGAATATTAAACTGAACATACTACTTAAGGAGTTATTAACAAATCTTAATATTCTACATTCAAAATACCAAAAGTAAATTGGAAGAATAAATCCTAATTATAGATATTGGTATTTAAAGATATCCTAATTATAAACATTGGTATTTAAATTGAGAAATATAAGATAGAAAATGGAGCAAACTTCATATTCCCATCTGAGAAACATTTGGTTCATGAATGGTGCATAGTTTTTAAGAATCTGAAGTGACTGCATTTTCATCCTATAATTTTGGACCCCTGATGAACCAAGTACTTTGTCTTTTGTCAATATATTAAGTCACTATTGCCTAGAAGAAGCTTTAGTACCTTCTAACATCTAAAATTTTTTAGTGCCTAAATGCCAATTCAACTCCGGATGTCACAAATATTCTTAGTTGTGAATAAATTTTTGTGTATACAATTTTATTAACAGTGCTTAGGCAGGGATGCACTTTTAAAGACTCCAAAAACCAATTTTTTTTTTTTTTTTTTTTTGAGACAGAGTTTCGCTCTTGTTACCCAGGCTGGAGTGCAATGGCGCCATCTCGGCTCACTGCAACCTCCTCCTCCTGGGTTCAAGCAATTCTCCTGCCTCAGCCTCCCGAGTAGCTGGGACTACAGGCACATGCCACCATGCCCAGCTAATTTTTGTGTTTTTAGTAGAGATGGGGTTTCACCATGTTGACCAGGATGGTCTTGATCTCTTGACCTTGTGATCCACCCGCCTCGGCCTCCCAAAGTGCTGGGATTATAAGCGTGAGCCACCGTGCCCGGACCAAAAATAAATTTTTAAAAAAGCTTTTGGGGCTTTCCTGAAAACTGAATTACCAATTTATAACACGGCTTCTAAGAAATAAATTACAAATTAAAAGGAACTAATGGCGGTGGCTCAAGCCTGTAATCCCAGCACTTTGGGAGGCCGAGGCGGGTGGATCACGAGGTCAAGAGATTGAGATCATCCTGGTCAACAAGGTGAAACCCCGTCTCTACTAAAAATACAAAAATTAGCTGGGCATGGTGGCGCGTGCCTGTAATCCCAGCTACTCGGGAGGTTGAGGCAGGAGAATTGCCTGAACCTAGGAGGCGGAGGTTACGGTGAGCCGAGATCGCGCCATTGCACTCCTCCAGCCTGGGTAACAAGAGCAAAACTCCGTCTCAAAAAAAAAGAACTAATGAACGAACTTAATGTAGAACATACTGAGATCGAAACCGATCAGATTATTTAATGATCAACAATATTACCTATTTAGCAACATTTTTCAGAGGTCAACATGTATATACTCTTAAAATCTCTAATTCTCAAATTTCTATTTTCTCTCATTTTTACTTTATATCAGTTTTATAAAACTACAAAGAATGTCAGTTAAACAAGGCAACAGACCAGATATTAAATGTAGTTTTATAAAACTACAAAGAATGTCAGTCAAACAAGGCAACAGACCTGTTAATAAATGAATAGGAAATTAACTCCAGGTAAACTTCTCTTAAAATGATAGCATTAAGCCCCTCCCACCTTCTCTTCTTCCTGCTCCCAATAGATTTACTACAATAACCTCTTAAAAGGGTACAAAATTACCTCTTTCATTTGAAAAGCAGTGTTAAAAACAGAATCCAAAAGATAGAACCCCAGAATGAGTATAATTCAAAAATTGAATAATCGGTTTTCTTAAAACTTGGTTTACTTATAAAAGATTTCAAGTGATATTTTTAATATAAATAAAGTTTAAGTAATTGTGACAAACAATTATGTGCTGTATACTTACAGCAGAGTGAGTTAACAGCTATGGAGTAAATGTGCTAAGTTCCATTATCGTCCTATCAAAATGGTTTCTGGAACATTTACAACTTAGAACAGAAAGGGCCTGATGGTCATCAGATATAACTATACCTTAGGCTGAGGACACTGAGAAAGTCTAAGACTAAAGAACAGACACAATGTCACATAACAAACTAAGGTAGAGCCAGGGTAAGAACCCTGTTTGTTTGTTTTTTTAATAGAAAGATGAGGTCTTGCTATATTGCCAAGGCTGGACTTGAATACCTGGGCTCAAGCAATATTCCCACCTCAGCCTCTCAAATAGTTGGGACTACAGGTGCAGGCCTCTGCACCCAGCTGAACCCATTTTTTTTTTGTTTTTGTTGTTGTACTTGTCTAGTTATTTAATGGTGGCAAGGAGAGCACCACAGGCAAAGGACCTGTGGGAGAGAACTTGGATACTAAAAGGATTAAAACACTCAGAGTGGCTGGAGATATAGGGCTGACATCTTACATATTCTTATGGGCCATGTTAAGACCATGTTAAGTGCTGAAAAGTTGGGGAAGTCTTGAATAATTTCAAGGTAGGTCAGACATGATCAAGTAAAGATTCGTCTGATACAGGGTAGAGATGCATTTGTCTTCAACGAGAAGAGAAAA